GCACACAGCACAAGACCAACCCTCATTGAGATGAGAGAAAGGCAGGAGCTAGTAAACATTTTAAAGCCGTATTGGGGAAACTGCAACCCAGAAAGTTAGCCACTCGACTGGTAATTATATACTCTGCTAGGCCGACTTTTTTTATTCCAGTTTAATCTTTAAATCGTAACTGTTAACTAAGGAAAGACATATTTTTATCTTGATAGAATTACATAAATCATTTCTTAAGATCTTCCCAATTAGCAAGCTTTCTCGTAGCTTGTTTTCTTTCTCTTCATACTTACTATATTGGTTTTCTAGGGCTGCCATAAAAAATATCACTAAGCTATGGGCTTAAAATAAAAGAAATTTATTCTGTTACAGGTCTGAAGGCTTGAAGTCTGGATTCAAGGTGTTAGCAGGGCCATCCTCACTCTGAAGCCTCCAGGGAAAGTTCCTTCTTTGACCTTTCTGACAATCCTTGGCGTTCCTTGGCTTGTGGATGCATCACTCCAGTTTCTGCCTCTGTCTTCACATGGTCATCTTTGTGTTTCTCTTCTCCACTTTTATAAGAATCCTGCTCATATTGGATTAGGACCCACCCTACTCCAGTATGACCTCGTGTTAATTTAACTGATAACATCTTCAAAGATTCTATTTCCAAACACTGTGAAGTTCACAAGTACCAAGGGTTAGGATTCAACGTATCTTTCTGAGGGACACCATTCAATCCCTAACACTTGCCAGGCACTTGAAAAAGAATTTTTCACTAGTAGGTTTTTTTTTTTTTTCTTTCAATACAGTATTCATGCTACACTTGGAAGTTCTATCTACTTCTTGTTACACAGACAGGCAAGAGTCAGTGCATCCCAACCTGTAATTAATGTCTCACCGCTCTTCTCATCTTTTGTCCCCCCATCCTAATAGTAATACCAGCAGCAACAGAAACAACAGCCATTGAGTCACACACTGGAATTGTGCTCAGTGTTTCTATATTACTTCATAATGTTCAAAACTTTTCTTCCAGTGAAATCTTATCCCAAAGCCCAATACTTAAAACAAAGAAAAGTGGAATCCCCAAGTCCCTGTGAATCATTTTGAAAATGGCTGCTTTATCTCATTTAATTCTCAAACAATGAATAATTTCATCCCCAATGATGAAAAATTTACCATCATTATCTCTATTTTAACTGAGCCTTGGAGAGTTTTAGTAACTTGCCCAAGGCCACACAGCAGTGTAAGATAGTGGTGCCAAGAGAACAGGTGTTTAATCAACGTGTATTTTTTGCACACCTCCTGTGTGCTGGATACTACTTCACAAACAGGCAGAGCTCCCTTCTCTTGTGGAGCTTATATTTTAATCTAGGAGATTTGAACCCAGTTTGGTTGAAATCTAACACAGTGTGGTCTTAGCTAGAAACTATGCCAATTGTTCTAGGATTCTTTGGTTCTTTCTCTTTGTTTGAACCTCTTTCCTGACATGATTAATAGTGGTGTAAATCTACTTTCTTATGGATTATCTTTATCTGGATGACTCCTTATCCGCTTAAATTTATATATTCAGAAATGAACATCTACTTGCCCCCATGCGGTACAAAATCACCAGTGACTCCCATGGTGCCGGGAAGCCCACAGATCCTGTTTATACGTATTCGCTCATTTACTCCTCTTAGCTACTACGTGAAATACAACCAGGTGAAGAATTATACTCCTGTCACGTGGTTTGTAAAGGGAGAAACTGTTAACGGTGGGTGCGCATCTCAGTCCACCAACTGAGGAGTGTAAAACCATGTAGTCCTTGATTTTCTTTAAGTAAACTTGATTTAGCACTGAATCCCACATACTGTTCCGCTAATGGGAAATTCAATCTCAGTCACTCCTGAGGCTCCCCTCCCAATGCCTTGATAAGACAACTAACTGTTACATTCTGCTTGATTCCTTTAGTTCCGGGCCATGCTTGGGGATTGAGAAATCTTCAATGAGTCAGGGAAACACAGACATTCCCTTCTGTGATCTTGCCGCCAGCCTGGGTACCGCCAGGTGGAAAGGTGTGGACTCTTGGAGTTTTTGAAAGCCCAGCCCCTTGTTTCCTCCAAATTCATCAGAAATCTTTCCATATCTAGCGAAGTATCTCCTTAGCTCTTCTATTTCTTCAGTGGCGTTTTCTCTTTTCTCACCCTCCAGGATACATGGGACAATCTCTTGAAGGGCTTGAGCTTTGGAAACAAAGCTCAGAGGGGTAGTACTTGTAGGCAACTTCTCTTGCTGTTCTTCCACAAACTCCCTTGAGGCAAGGAAGCTTAAACTCGAATATTTGTCCGAGAATATTTTTTAGAATATTTTCTGGGAAAATATATACATTAATATCTCAAAAATTCTCCTGAGCCATGGCTCACACTTACTGATTGTTACTATGAGCCTGAGCTGTGTCAAGCACATTATATACCTATTAAAATGCTAATGAGGTTAGGCCTATCATTGTCCCCATTCTGCAGGTGAGGAAAATGAGGCTCACAGAGATTATGTAACATTTTCGAAACAGCCAGTAAGTGGCAGAACCAGGTTCGATGCAGGTCTGACCTCGGAGTTACACTCTTTTACAGCTGGGCTACTCCCATTCCAGTTACATTTCCTCTCAATTCCACTACCTTTTCTCTAATCATTAGGGAGCTACTGCTGGCTTCTCACCATCTTTCGCTGCTTATAAACACTGTCATGGAATTAAATGAATTTTCTCTCCAAATGTTCTTGAGTTCTTTTAAGACGATAATCAAGTTGCTGTGCCGTATTTCTATGGTGTTTTATGTTTTCATCCCCACTCCCTTCTCTTGGTTGATTCTGGATGGTTCTGTCCGTGAGCAGGTCTCTCTGTGTCAAAACCAGTGTTTCTTAAATTTAAGTGTACAGAAAGATGTCTCCTTATAGATTGTTGTTGTTAGCTGTTGTCAAGTTGGCCCCTGACTGATGGTAATCCCATGCATAATGAACTGAAACACTGCCTGGGCCTGACCACCTGCATGATCAGTTGCAGATCTAACACAGGGTTTTCATTGGCTGATTTTCGGAAGTAGATTACCAGGGCTTTCTTCCTAGTCCTTCTTAGTTTTGAAGCTCTACTGAAACCTGTTCAGCATCATAACAACACACAGGCCTACACTGACAGATGCGTGGTGGCTGCACACGAGGTACACTGACCAGGAATCAAACCCGGGTCTCCTGCATGAAAGGTGAGAATTCTACCACTGAACCACCAATATCCTGAAAAAGATTACAGTCAGGCCACTTGAAAATTTGATAATCATCAAAAAATGATTCTAGTTTGCTTTCTGTAAGGCTCTATGGGCCCTCCCCTCCTCCATTCTTTAGAATTGCATGGGAGTATGTTCTGAGTCAGAATCAACTCTATGGCACACAATAACAACATGTCTACTCCATCTCATTTCTGGAGACTAGCTGTTTTCTGCTTGTCCATAACTTTAGCTTGACAGATCTGTACTTAGCCTTGCATTTGACATATGGCTGCACAACACTCACTAACTACAATCTCTATATTACTTATTTCAATATCTAAAATAAGAGTCTGATTGGCTTAGCTTAACTGTCCGTGGATCAGTTGCCTTTATAAAGTGGCCACTGTGCTGAAATCATTTGAGGTTGTGTAGGCAAGTGGAGGGGTACATGGCCCTGTGGTGTAAAATGCCCATGTAAGCCTGCCACTGAACCAGAATTTACAACCATGAGGGAGTTTCCAAAGAAGATAGCTCTTGGTGGGGATAAAATCACTATGTACGACTCCTACAGTATCATTATCAAAGAAATCTTAATACTTTACTTTTATCTTGCCAGTTCTCTGTTCAAGAACATCTAACTGCTCTCTACTAAATATGGAACATAGTCCAAATGATCCTTCTTAGTATTCAAGGCTGTCTGTGACCTGGGTCTCCAATAAGAACCTTCTTCTGCAGGTGGGCCCCTACTCTTCTAACCTCCAATATGCTATGCTTCGTGTAGAATGCTTTCCACTCTCTCCACATTTACTAACTTTTCCTATAAATCACTATTAAGCCTTTATATTTTTAAGAATACCCGTCGGTCAGTTTGTCATACTGTAGTGATTTGTATGTTGGAAGGCACTACACAACAGCTGCAACGATGGACTCAAACATACCATACATAAGGTCACCGTGAGTTGCAGCCAACCTGACAACGGCTAACAACAATCCTTACGAAGTCTCTCAAAAATGGCTCGTGCATCTTAACCACTCAGATATTTCCTGTTTGGGTCATTCTGACACTCATTACATTTGGTCTAGTGTTATCCTCTGGTTCAGATGTTTCATTTTATATCACCGAAGAGAGAGTTCTTTGAAGGCAAGAAGCATGTTGTATACAGATGTCTTCTCTAGAACCCAGAAAACTGTAGAAACCAAACCCTTTGCTGTTGAGTTGATTCCAACTCATAGCAACCCTACAGGACCTAAAACCTAGAAGAGAATCCCAGAATGCAACAAGGCCACAGAGGGAGTAAGACAAAGAGCTGTAGGATGGTGATTTCTTATTGACATCAATTTCCTATAAATTTGAGTACCCTCATTTTTTAAGTCAACCCACCTGAAAGATTTGGCCACATGATTCCCTTTCACATTCTTTTGTTTTGTTTTAGTTTTCTCCTCCAATTGAAGTTATTTTAATTCAGCTTGTTAAGTTAAATTCCATACTCACCGATAATCTTATGAGACAGTGTGCTGGTAAACAGACTTAACCTAAGATGTTCTTGGAGCCCTGGTGGCATAGTGGTTAAGAGCTCAGCTGCCAACCGACAGCTTGGCAGTTCGAATCCACCAGCTGCTCCTTGGAAACCCTATGGGGCAGTTCTACTCTGTCCTATAGGGTCGCTATGAGTCAGAGTCGAATCAACGACAATGGGTTTTTAAGATGTCCTTAACAAGAATTTTAAATAAAGGAGACAAGGTAACATGGTAATATACATACACAAAATAATTAATTTTAAAAGGAATTACCTCATAGCCAAGTAAATGTCCATTACTCAACTTCCAAGGAATGGCATTCCATGAAACTTCAATTTCTGAGGAAGATAAACTATTTGCAGAAACTTGAAATGGAGCTATGGTAGGCTCTATTTGGAAATAGAAATTGAAATATAATTGTAATTTTTGTAGTTGATTTAAAAATCTATTAAAATTCACATTTTAAAAATACTTCAATATATTGCAAATATTATAAAATAGTCATTAATTATATATGAAAGCATCAATCATGTTATTATGGATTGAATTATGTTCCCCAAGGAGATATGGTGAACTTCTAACCCTTTGCACCTGTGAATGTGACCTTGTTTGGGGCAATAGAATATTTCTGATGCTAGTCTGATGTTAGTCGTACCGGAGTAGGGTGGGTCCTAACCCTAACCCCTTCTGAGTGGTATCTTATAAAAGGGTAGAACAGGTTATGGAGACAGGTTCATACACAGGAGGAAGATAGCATGTGAGGATCTGTCTACAAGCCAAGAAATGCACAGGCTCTACCAGAAGCTGAAAGTGACAAGGGAAGGTCTTCCCCTAGAATGCAAAGAGAGAAAACACAGCTCCACTGACACCCTGAATTCTGACTTCTAGGCTCTAGCACTGTGAAACAACAAATTTCTGTTCTCTAAAGCCACTCATTGTGTGATATTTTGTTATGGCAGCCCTAGCAAACTAAGATACATGTCTCAAAAATAAAGACATTGGTCTGGTTCTTAAAGAGAGATAGCATCATAGCCACAGACTCTTCCTGGCTAAATAGCCATAAAAATATGTACTTTTCTCCCCTGTACTTCCTCCTTGGCATCTTCCATAACATCCCTTCTTTCCCTTTATTCTCTCTTCCCTCTTTATCTCTCTCCCCTTCATTTCACAGTTGTTGCTTGAAAACTCCTATGTTCAAAAGCCCTACTTATTTTTTTGTTTTGACAAAAGTCAAGGTCGGTAGAGTTCCTTTATTCAATAAGCACTTAGTGAATGCCTTCTCTAGCCTAAGCCCAGAGGTACAAATTTAAATGAGATGGAGTAACAGCCAGGGCCCTACTCTTTCGAATGAGTAGACAGACATGCATGTAAAGAATTATACAGTAAGAAGATTCTCTCTGAAATAGACAACTGTTAGAGCTTTATGTGGCTCATGGTGATCCACTCTTCTCAGGACAGAGCTCTGATGCAGCTTCTCCTCCCCTCAATATTCATTTCTTTGTTAAATGATCCTGCTCCTGGCCATGACTAACTGAAACTGAGATAGACTCTTGGCCCAAGGATGAGTCTATTAAATCTTCTCTCCTGAGAATTTGAAACTTGATTTGGAGAGACTAGGAGATCTGGGGCCAATTACATCATTGTTGGCCCTCTAGTGATGAGAAGCCCTCGGATATTTCCAAGAAATCATTTGGTTCTTTCTTAGAAAGCAGAACCTGTTCCTGGTTTTAGAATAGAAAGAGCTTTAATCAGTTCATTAGTGGGGGAAAGAGTGATGATGGGACAGTGAAAGTTAAGGAGGCAAGAGGGTAAAGACTGTAGCTCCCACCCCAACTGCCAGCCTTCCAAGTCTTGGGCAGTGTCCCAAAACTCTCGTTAAATGCTGTCACTCCCCAGATACCTGACCTGCTCTTGTAATGAAAATGGGATGTGGCCATGAATATAAAAGACTCTTTTGCAAAGACTTTTATGATACCTGTTTGTTTCCCTCTCAGAACTGAGAGAAAAAACAGAAGACAAGAATAAGGGGATAAGGTACTAAGGAAATTGACTTTACTTATTATTTTTAGTAGTGAGGATTGTGGAACATCTCAAGGAAATTTTGCAATTTACTGCAAGATCTGGACGGTAGAGGAGAAACTGAAATCATATTACATGGGCTCAGTAATTTTTAAGAGTCCCAGCCCTGGGTTCAAATCCTGGCTCTATCGCTTACTGCATGCACTTTGGCAAGTTTATTAACCTCTTTCACCAAGTTTCCACTTTCTTTTGTGTAAAAGGGGAATAATCATAGTACCTAAGCCTCACTTGAAAATTCAAATTTGTTGATCTTTATGACCTGGACTGGTAATCTAATTAAGACTTGTATCATTATTCCTTTGAAGAAATACATATGAAGTCACAAAGAACTTTCAAATCAGTTTTTGGAACACAACTGATTTACAAGGTTAGAATGGCTACATAATCATAATGTTTTCCGTACCTTCTTCTGCAGAGAATATTGCTGTTACTGGGCTAAATGGTCCTTCGCCTTTGTTATTATAAACACCCACTTTAACTTCATAGCGTGAAAATGGCATGATACTTTCATTTCGAAAGACATATCTTGAAGTATCAGGGTATGTCACCACTGTTTGAATCCAATTGGTCACCCCGTAGGGGCGGAAAGCAACAACATACCCAAAACCTTCACCATTCTGCAGTTCTTCAGGGACTGGCTATAAAGGAAAGACATGTTAGACCATCTTTACATAGGAGGACAAAGCAAAAATGAGTACAGCTATAATCCTTAGTCTTCTGTAAAGCTATTGAATAACAATCTACATTGTACTAAGCAGCTGAATAAAAAAGAAGAAAGCATCAGTGGAAGAGTCAGCTGCTTTTAAATAAACATATTGCATTCTTTCATAGCCACCCAGATAATGAACTACAACTTTCTGCGATTATTCATATACCTGAGCATATTCAAATCCCAGTCTGAGTTCCTAATAATAATATAATAATATTTTTTCAGCTAAATAGACCTTATCTCTTACACTAAGTAAAATCAATCTAGTCCCTAATGTTGACTTTATGGAAATAAATCACACATTGACATGATGATGACTAAGTATAAAGGAGTAACCCATTGCCGTCAAGTCGATCCCGACTCATAGCGACCCTATAGGACAGAGTAGAACTGCCCCATAGATTTCCAAGGAGCAGCTGGTGGATTTGACCTGCCGACCTTTTGGTTTGCAGCCGAATGCTTAACCACTGTGCTACCAGGGCTCCATAAAGGAGTAAAACTAAAAACAAACAAACAAAAAAAGGCAAAACAACGTATTAAACTCAAAGCTGTATTTGGGTCATGAGAAAATTCCTATTGACATGCCATCACAATGTCTTGACTTTGTATTTTTTCATCAACATTTTCAAATAATACAATCTTCTGACTTTAAATGTATTAATTAAAATTTATCCTAATTATGACACAAAGCAAGGGCTGAGAGACTGGCCCGCAATGAAACAGAGACTCGAAAACAAGATGGAGTGGAATATGCAGGGCTGTGCGGGAGGCTGTGAAGGCGGGGGTCTAGAGTCATCAGCCAGGATCTGACTCTCACTCCTATATCTACCATCCATGTGACCTTGGGTAAGATGTTTAATATCTCTGTTCCTTAGTGTTTTCATGTATAAAATGTTCTGAGGATGAAATGAGAAAAATATATGTAAAATGCTTCCAACAGTGGCTAGCACAGAGTAAGCATTCAAAAATATGAGCTACTAATCCTGCCACCACCACCAGCACCACCATCAGCACCACCCAGGAGGCCATGATGATCCATGAGGAGCAGCACTCTGAAGGGGAAGACGCTGCCCAGACACTTACATCCCAGGTTATCACGAGTTCAGACCGGCTTCCGCCTCCTCCACTGACTTCTGAAGGAGGCACTTCTGGAACTGTGAGGGTCAGACAGACAGACGTGAAACTGTATTTCCATTTAGTATTATTAATCTTCAATAAAACTCAAAGTTGCTTATTTTTAATATTGGCTCATTATATATATGTGTGCAGGTATAATGTATCTTTGAGGTGATCATCAGATAATTTATACTTGCATGAAATTATAAAGATGATTCAAAATCTCTCAAACACTAAGAAAACACGACTCAGTTGGAAGATACATTTTGAATAGTATGAAGGTTCATAAACAGGGAAAAGCGATTTGCTAGGGATGATAGGAAATCAATCCAACATGAACATTTAGTCTGTCATTATTCCAGGTAGAGATATTATTCTCAGAACAGCATTGGCTTTACATAAGAGTGACTTAGACTCAAGTCCTGTTATGAGATATTCTTTATTAACCTCACACATGCATCAGATTTCTTACCGACATTGACAATTTTGTGCTTAGTAACCCCCATGACACAGCTAGAATTAAGTTCCAAAAGACTATCTTTCATTGTTTGCCATGTTCTCAGCTATATCCACATCAAGAAGTACTTAGCACATAGAAGACACACCATAAATATGTGTTGTATGAATAAATGAACAGAACACCAAGGAAGACGTAGTCCCCCTACTTCTCCTAATACCTGGAATAAACATTATGTGCACTGTCCTAGGTAAAATGGCATCATTAAAATTACTGAACCACATTCCATGACTCTAATCTTGGCTCAGTTCCTAAAGTGACATACCAGCTCTATTTCAAACATCCTCTTAGTTAATGTTAATGAATATTACAGATGCTGAAAAGGAAAATCTCTAGGTTTCCTCAGATGCTTCAATAATGTGATACGGTGTAAAATTTCTAATTTTAAATTTCAGTGTTAGTTAAGAGTAGTTTTATGGTTTATATTAATAATTGCTTTGCATGGAAATTTTTAACAATGATTTCTTTTCAATTTAACACTTGAAGGGCCAAAATATATCTATTCATCAATCGTTTACGTGCATTCACTGAGCTTGGTGGCAGAATGAGATTTCCTAGCAGCAGAACTCCCAAATGTCATTATCCTACCAATTTGTCAATGCTTGTTACAAATGAAAACAGCACTTCCCCAGTTAACAGGGTGACTATGTCAGATAGTAATTATAACCTTAAGTGACAAAAACATACTCACTCAACATGCACTAATGATCGTTTACGATGATCTGAGCTCGTGGAAATGTCACACTGTATCAGAATCACTTATATATGTTGCCTTTGACAAATGCCATATGGCTAGCTCTGCCATTAGGAAGGTCAGATAATTGTGACAATGGATTATTGAGGCTGATCCCCTGCTCGCCTGGAGACCGGGGCCAACGGGAAAAAAACGCACTCTCAGGGAAACCTATTAACCCATTACTCAGAAAACAGAAACACTAACCTGCCTCTTCGGTTCTTACTTTTTCTGAGGGTAAACTGGGTTCTCCACCTCCGATTTTGTTACTGGCTACAACCCGAAACTCATATTCCACCCACGGGTTTAACTCGACAACAGTGGCTGTGTGTGTTTTCCCATCGATGACCTCAGGCACTATAAAGGAATATTTTAGGGACGTAAGAGCCAGTGTATCTTGGCATTGACTTGAAATCCACTTTATAGGGACCGATGGCTTTGCCTCCCCCCCATTACCTGTCGTGACGGTTTGCCAGCCCACGGAGAAGGGTGTCCTGGCCTGGACTGAATAGGATATAACTGGGCTGTGGTTGTCTGTACCTTCTCTCCAAGAGAGTTGGGCTGTTGTATCTGTAATTTCAACTACCTTCACATTTGCTGGTGGTCCAGGTAAACCTGAGGAAGGCAAGAATGCAGACTGTGGGTTTTATGGGAAGGAAGCAGAATTTTTGTGCCTGACGCCCAATGTCTAAAACAAGCATTCAAAAGTCAGACCTTTTACATCTTTATTCACATGGGTAAAAACCAAACCAGCTGCTGACTCACAGCGACCCCATGTGTGCCAGAGTAGAACTGTGCACCACAGGGTTTTCAATGGATGATTTTGTGGCAGTAGATTGCCAGGCCTTTCTTCCAAGGCACCTCTGGGTAGACTGGAACCTCCAACCTTTCGATTAGCATTAACCATCTGCACACCTGAGACACCATACATAGGAGTAGCAATTCCATAAATATCATCCTCTTCTACCAAAGTGAAGAATATGTCACACCACCACTTCCACACCTCCAAATGATCCCAGTTTCAACAGTACTCAGGGAAAAGGCCAGGTACCTGCCAATGGAACAACTACTTTTTTTCACTACTTGGTTAGAGAGATTTTAACTCTAGTTGTGAGGCAGTAATTTCCAAACTATAATACTCCAGGGCTGCATTGACACCTGCCTTTTGAGGCCTCTGTTCAGTAGGATTCCTGTGTGTTTCGAAGTTCAATGTCCTTTACTTCAGCACGAGGCCTTTCCCTTTAATTCGCAGTCCATCTCGGGAGCTCCCCAGTGTGTTGTCTAGAGCTTATGGTTTATAAAATTTGACTCTATGATGCTCTCTGAGCATTGTACAACCCAGTAGCAAATCAGTACCCTAAAGAGAGTAGCTCAGTTTGGTAAATTTCTGGATAATCCTGATTCCTTTGGAAGTGCGCGCACGTGCGCGCACACACACACATACACGCAATGTTCTCTCTCATATCAAACACAATTGCTGAGTTAATGAAATGCTTAAAAACACATCAGCTTGGCAGCAGCTGTGACGCCAGTTAACAGTGAGAACGATTTGAAGAGCAGAGTTGAGATTTTTACTTCTTTGAATGAGCACCCGTTCCCATTGTCATGTTCTCTGGTCTATGAGGGGGAAAGCACATCCGTATTGTAACTCACATGCACATGTGCTATCTCATCACGGCCTTCCTTCCAGTAAGCCCTGCTCAGTTAAGATGTGACGTTAAAAACCACACAGAGGCATCAATGCTTACCTCTTACTATGAGGTCCGCCGCAGAGGAAACACTGTCCACGCCTGTTCGTACCATACAAACGTATTTTCCACTGTGCTTCAGCTGAATGTTTCTGATCATTAAATCGCCAGATGAACTCTGTTGGAAAAACAGGCAATAACGTGGTTATTTTAAAAGCACAAAAAACCTTGAATTCTGCAGCCAGTCACAATATTAGGATGAAACCCGTGTTTAGAGAGAAAACCAAGGCGAAGCAAGACAAGATGGCTATCATTGAACATATGAAAATAAAAACAAGTTAAAATCTATACGTGACCGCAGACCTACACTTGTACAGCCAAATACGCGACAAGTCATCTCCTGGGCATTTATGGTTTCAAAAATAAATATGGGCAGAGATTACAGTCTCAGAGACCATTTACTTCCACTCGCGTGACACTTCTTTTTCCGCTCAGCACCAGCTCAACTCTTTTCTTCTGGTTCCAACCCCTTTGCAATTAATTATCTGCCTGAGAGGAGGAGGGAAGCGTGTAGGTTATCTGGTGGGAGATTAACGCAGTACAACAAGGGGATTACCACGGTTGAAACACTTTGCTGAACACGTTGGAGCTTAAAAAGCCTAAAGCCGTTTAATTCCTTAGCTACAGAATTTAGGGGCAGTCAGTACGAACCCCTCCATAAGAAGAAATTAAAACATTTTAAACCCTAAAAAAAAAAAAAGCTGCCCATAAAGACATTCGCTGGCACCCCCCAGCACCAATTAAAGGAGCAAATAAATGTATTTCTAAAAGCTCAACTGGAAATGGCCCTCATTTAAAAAGAATGTAAAATCACGTTCATGAAATAGCTAAACTGTAGGCCAGTTTCACATATTAATAAAAATATGCATTGAAATAAAATGATTTGCAAAGCAAAGCCCTTTGAAAATGATCACTTAGTGAAAAATCTCTGAACTGGTGCAGACGAAAAAGCAGTGTTTATCTTATTAATAAAAAGGTAGTCTTACTCTAGGATTTCCCTAGTATTTGTCAAAGATGAATTCTGTTCTTGTGCTTTTATGTAATTTCCTAAGACCTTTACAGGGTAATTTCTTAAATATTGCTTCCTATCCTGAGGCTTCTTAATGGGCTATCTATTCTCTGTTGGTTGGACTGTATGGCTTTGGACTGAATTTTTTCAGTACTGGGAGAAGGCAGATGTGAAGTGATTGATGGCTGTAATTAAACGATAATCCAGAAACTGTTCAGTTTGCACATTTTACTTTCATCAAGTTTAACTTTTTTTTCCCCCTCCCTCCCTCTCTTTCTCCTCAGGGTTGTTTCAAAATTTATCCCCAGGACAAAACCTTCAATGCTTGCTGACCTTTAGAAACTCTTCAGGCTTTATGAGCTTCACATACTCACAGGACGTTGATTATCATTTCTAAAGAAATTTCTTATTTTCAGGGAAGTAGGAACTGTGACTATTAAACGTCATTAAGGTATTGGGGTGAAATTAGTATTCTTCCCTATCTTTATCTAGTAATTTTAACAACAGTAGGCGAAAGAGAATCCTAACAGGACTTTCTGTATATACTTAACCAGTAGCCACTTGCTGTCAAGTCGATTCTGACTCATGGTGACCCCATGTTTTTCAGAGTAGAACTGTGCTCCACAGGGTTTTCAATGGTTGTGATGTTTCAGACGTAGACTGCCAGGCCTTTCTTCTGAGGCACCTCTGGGTGCATTTGAATCACCAACCCTTCCATTAGCAGACAAGCACTTAACCAGTTGCACCACCCAGAAAGTCAACTGGATATAACTTCTAGGTGCATCTGCTGGTTTTGTTTCTTAGAGGAATAAGGAAGAGTATGGTGTTGGGGCTGCCATTTCTATTCACTTTTCGTACTGTTGGGTAAAGAGGGAGAAAAAGTATCATAAGGAACTTACTTATGTTCTTCTCTGTCAGTTCTGAAACTGTTACCCTATAGTGACAAAATAAGTCAATTAACCCAATTTAGCTAGATTATGAAAAAACCAAACCATTTCCTAAAGAAATGTAGTCAGGATCATCATTAGGGGAAATATAATTTTTAATTATCCTTTTACACTGTAGAATGGGGAAAGGAAGCAATTAACTAAGACATCTAGACAACGGGAACCACTTTTTATTTTTTTTATTTTTTATTGTACTTCAGGTGAAGGCTTACAGAACAAATAGTTTCTCATGAAACAGAAGTACACATGTTGTTTTATGACATTGGTTAA